TAGGTGATCTCCTCAAGACCCTGGAGTCCCACACACGCCGTAGCTCGGGCTATGATATGGTGCGTAAATGCATTCCCCCCTCACCAAAAAAAAAAAAAAAGAGTGTTGACCCCGCCAACCACCGAGGAGAGCAGACGAGACCAGTAAGACCGCAAGCGACAAGGCAACGCCGAAGCGACGACGCGACAAGGCGACCTAGCAGCGACGACGCGACCGCGACGCGACCGCGACGCGACCGACGCGCGGAAACGCGAGAAAAACGCGGAAACGCGAGTGAGACACCCACTCGATAAGGCAAAGCCTAAATCGGGTGGACGAAGAAATATTACACAATTTCCATCTCGTTGGGAATTGTGTAAAAGCGCGACTTGGCGAAAACAGACGTACCAAAGTGGGCCGACAAACACACAGTGAAGTGAAGCGAAGTGAAAAGACACTAGTGAGTGAGTGGTACACAATTCTCAGAGTGCGGCGACAACTGAGAATTGTGAGAAAGTGGGCCGACGAAGCCACAGCCAGAGTGCAGTGAGCCGAGAAGGCACCAGTGCGCGAGTGATACACGATTCTCAGAGTGCGGCGACTGAGAATCGTGCAGAAGTGAGCCGAGAAGGCACCAGTGTGCGAGTGATACACAATTTCCAGAGTGTGGTCACAACTGGAAATTGTGTAAAAGTGCAGTGCAGTAAATCGAACTCAGAAGAGTCGATGGTGGTGATCGAGCGCGACACCATAGAAACTGTGACCAAGATGCTGGACGACGAGAACACATATTCCACGTCCAGCGAAGAGGAGGAAGAGGTCCAGGAAGAGGAACCTCGACCAAAAATGATGGAAGAAGAAAACCGAGAACTCAAGAGGCAGATAGCTGAACTGTCCTGCCAGCTAGCGGACCTGACGCGTCAGCTACTGGAAGAGAGAAGAATAAGCGCCGAAGAGCGCGAGAAGACGGCCAAGCTCATCGAGCTCATGGCCGCAAGACAAGGGACAGAGATCGAAGATCCCAAAAAGACCAACACCAAGAGGAAGGCTGATAAGATTGAGGAAGCTGACGAGAAACCAGTCTCCAAGAAAGCGGCAGTGGACCCCTTCCCCCCGCTTCCAAAGAAGAAGACAGTGGATGAGAATACCACCCCACCCCACCCCGTCAACCGAAGACAGGATGGACACCGAGCAGGCCCAGCCAGCTCCCAAGCCCAAAACAAGAATGCCGCCACCCCTATATATACATAGGGAAGACCAGTGGCACACAATGAAGAAGGGAAAGAAGATCCCAGCCGACAAGCCGGCAAAACTTACCAGGACCGGCATAAAGGTCCAACTGACGACCGAGGATGAATTCCGAAGCGTAAGGAAGACGCTCGAGGAGAACAAGGTGGAACACCACACCTACTCCCTGCCAGACGAAAAATCCCTGTCAGTAATCATCAGGGGCATGCCACTGATGACGGGGGAGGACGAAATTAAAGAGGACCTGGAATCTAAGGGATTCCACCCAAGAAGAGTCAACAGACTAACCAGCAGGCGAACCAGGAAGAAGATCCCGCTGGTCAAGGTGGATCTTCCAAAAGAAGAGAAGAGGATTTACGATCTGACAGAATGCTGTCAGATGATCGTAAAAATAGAGGCACAGAGGAAGAGAGAAGGACCGGGCCAGTGCTACAGGTGCCAGCAGTTCGGGCACAGCCAGCAGAACTGCTCCGGGGCACCGAAGCGCGTGAGATGTGCAGGGGCACATCGCGCATCGGAGTGCAAAGTGCCACAAGAAAAAGCGGCAACCTGCGCCAACTGTGGTGGGAGCCACCCAGCGAACTACGGGGGATGCCCAAGATGCCCAAGCTCAAAACCAAAGAGCAAACCCGCCGCGGAGAAGAAGAAGATCACGAAGCCAGCCCCAGTAAGACCAGGACAGAGCTACGCAAGGGCTGCAAGAAGCGAGGAGACGGCACCCCGAAGGCAGGAAAGACCCTCCACAAACCGGGAAGAAGAAGATGGGGATGAACTAAAGAGGTTCATAGAAACCCACATGGCCCAAATGAAGAGGCTCATCATGAATACCCCCGAAGCCAAGGCGGCATTCATGACAAGCAAGAACAGAAGAAACGCCAACTAAATGGGCAGCCTGTCAACATCTACGACCCTACGGATATTGAGTTGGAACGTACACAGTGCTACCAACAAGAAGTACGAGATAGGAGAAATGCTAACTCGAGGGGACTACGATGTGATGGCGTTACAAGAGACAATGCTCTCAAGCAGAGTTCCAAACTGGACCTGCCCAGGGTACACGACGTACAGGAAGGACCGAGACCAGAGAGGCGGAGGCGTGCTGATCTCCGTGAGGAGCAGCATCAGCAACGACCTGCTAGGAATCCCCGATCTGAGGACTACAGAAGCAGTAGGAATAGCCGTGTACACGGAGGACTACGGCACGCTGAACGTCATCTCGGTATATATACCACCAACGGTGACTCTTCATCTGGACGACATCACGCAAATCAGCGGAATGGGTGAGAGCATTGTAATCATAGGAGATCTCAACGCCAAATCAAGGATCTGGGGCTCACGCACGAACAACCGACATGGCGAAATCCTTGCGAGACTGATGGATGAACCGGAGTACTCCATACTAGGACCTGACGAACCCACGCTGTACCCAGACAACGGTACAAGGCCCGATGTAATAGACATTGCTATCTTGAAAAAGGTAGACGTGTCTTGCAACATTGGTGTTCTGCAAGAAGGAAGCTCTGACCACAACCCCAAATACCTGGAAATAGGAGAGGGAGCACCAAACGTGGAGAAGAGGATAGCCAGAAGAGTGAACTGGGACCGGTTCCGGCGAACCATTCACTACTCACTCGTCCCACTACCTCAGATAGAGACTCCTGGAGGCATAGAGGAAGCAGTTCAGGGCCTAGAACGGAAGATCAAGGACGCGCTAGATGCTACTACCACGGTAGAAGACATCACGCAGCCCAACAGGTTCAGAGACCTACCTCCAGAGGTGAACCAGAAGATCACCGACAGGAACAGGGCAAGAAGACTAGCTCAACGAACAGGAGGTCCAGAGCACAAACGAGAGCTAAAAAGGAAGACCGAAGAGATGAAAAAAGCCCTGATGGAGCACCATCAACGCAGCTGGCAAAGAAAACTAGAGGAACTAACACCAGGTGAGCCAGGAATGTGGAAGCTAGCGAAGATCATGAGAAATCGCAGACAACAAGTTCTCCCGCTGCAAGGAGCCTACGGGACCGCGTACACGAACGACGAGAAGGTCGAAGCATTTGCCGATAACCTACAACGGCAGTGTACGACATACATGCACCCAGATGAGGACGAAGACTTCGTAGAGGAAGTGGAAAGAAGATCCAGAAGAGCTACGAGAGGAGGAGAAATGGTGCAGCAAGCCACCTCTCCGACGGAAATCAGGGATATCATCAAGACCCTCAAGACCAGGAAAGCAGCGGGCTGCGACCGAATAGGGAACAGAATCCTGAAGAGGTTCCCGAGAAAGGGAATGGTGGCCATAACCAACATCATCAACGCTATGCTGAGGCACCGATACTTCCCGGACAGATGGAAGATCGCGGAAGTAATAAACATCCCGAAGCCTGGGAAAGACCCAAAATTTCCACAAAACTACCGGCCCCAATCAGCTTACTAACTTCCCTGAGTAAAGTTGCAGAAAGGGTAATCGAGCGAAGACTCAGACAACAAACCGAAGACCTTAGAGTACTGCCAGACGAACAGTTCGGATTCCGGAGCGGCCATTCATCAGAGCACCAGCTGCTTCGGCTCGTGGAGTGTGGGACGAGTGCGTTCCAGACTCGGCGAGTCGCGGGGGCAGTGTTCATGGATGTCGCGAAGGCATTTGACACCGTCTGGCACGACGGACTCATCTATAAGATGCAAGACAAGGGATACTCGACAGGGATGATTCAGCTGGTGAAGTCATATCTGAAGAACCGAAGATTCCGGGTTAGACTGGGAAACACCACGTCAACGACTAGAACTGCAGAGGCTGGGGTACCGCAGGGAGCGGTCCTATCCCCACTACTTTACGCCATCTACAGCTCCGACGTTCCGAAGACCCCAAATACGCAGCTGCTGATGTATGCGGACGACACTGCGTACGTAGCCGAGTCATTCCAGCCCCGCATGGCTACGATTTACCTACAAAGAGCGACAACCAGTCTACAGGAATGGTGCAAAAAAATGGAGGATCCAGCTAAATCCAGACAGAAAGAACCGCAAGACCCCTGAATGCAACCTCAAGATGACGACCACAGAAGTGCTGAGAGGCCAGGTGCGTGACGAAGAAAAAGAGGTACAGTGGACAGACACCAGCAAGTACCTCGGCGTCAAGATAGATAAGGGTCTCACCTGGAAACACCATATAGAAGCTCAAGTGCAGAAAGCCAAGATGGCAAGAGCCAAGCTAAGACCGATGCTTGGAAGAAGGAGCAAGCTCTCCCTGAACAACAAAATGCTGCTGATCAAGATGGTGCTCCTACCGATTATGACCTACGCGTCAGTTGCTTGGGGCTACGCGGCCAAGACGTGGAAGAAGAAGCTCCAAGCACAACACAACATAGCACTCCGAGAAGCGGTCAACGCACCGTGGTACCAGCTCATCAAGGCCGCCTTGGACTACGATCCAAGGTTCATACATAGGCACAAAAGACCGAAGAGCCAGCTGCTAGAAGATATGGGACACAGCAGCTGATGAGTCCTAAAGAAGAGGGGTAGAACCTCGCGAGGAAGGTACTGCATGCAAGATAGGCAAAGTCCTGTGCAGTACCGGTGGTCAGACGGCGAAGATTTGCCATGCTGAATGCACCGATCTCATTTGAGGTGCGGCGCATTTAGATGGCACTAACAAGCGGGCCTTCTGACGACTTCGGCATTTGTCGGCGTGGTCAGGAGGCAACACTCAAGAAAGAAGATAAAAAACCGAAGAACCCAAAAGCCGTCTTGGGAAACCTTAATGCGGACCTCAGGTCAAGGTCCCACCGATGGAACCCCAAATAGAGGACGACTCGTAAAACCGGAGAAAGGTACACGAGTATAAATGAGCACTTCCGTTCTGCAGCCGTGCTTCAGCGTCGTGATTAGCTTACCACACCTTTTGGCGGGGCAAAATTCCGAGGGGGGGAAAAACGCGAAAATTTAAAGGGCAAAATTGGGTGGGGGGTGGGATTTGCGTCCGACAGGAACATAAGTTGCAGGAGCGTCCAGTCCACGTACCGCTACTGGGGCCGGAAAGAGTGAGGGTACCTGGACCGGGGAGGTGGTGGGTTCGCTTAGGAACTTCGTGTTCCTGTTCCAAGAGTGTTGACGATGTAGTTTTAAAATTTCTCGGAAACGAGGGGCGGGGGTTGGGGGGAGGGAGGGATAAGCTGTTAGCCGCGCCGTTGCCTGGAAATTCCGTCGCCATGGAGCCGTACACGGGAGCGCAGCGTGCATTTTGTTTCCGATCGTATTATGAAAACAATAAATATTACTGCACGATGTTTTTATCGACATCAACACGGTTTACGCGATTTAAGAGAAGTTCCAAGCGCCAATGTGATACGGAAATGGATCAGAATGTTCAAAACAACCGGCTCGACGGTAGCAATAACAGCTCGTTGTCGTCCAGTTTCTGCAAGATCAGCCGACAATGTAGAGCGTGATCGTGTTTCAGTGCAGCGAAATCCGCAACAGTCAACACGTAAGAGAAGTCAGGCTTTGGACATCAAAAGAACGAGCTTGCGGCAAATTTTTAAGCGTGAATTGCATTTGAAGGCTTATAAGATTAAACTAGTCCTAACAATTAAAACCAGATGATGCCAATAACCGACTTAGCTTTGTCAATTTGATGCTCGACCGATTCAAGTTTTAACAACGTGATGTTTAGTGATGAGGGCAAGTTTCACCTCAGTGGCAATGTTAACAAGCAAAATTGTCGGTTCTGGTCCGAAACACATCTGCGCACGTCACACCAGTTGTGCTGGATTATAAGGAAGCATCTGAAAACAAGTCTGATGACAAACCAGATCTCGCTAGCCCTCAACCTTGTTTCCTTCTCGAGCCTGACGATCTGTTCGCTGAGATGGCAGCTTCTCAATAAGACTGTCCTGAAGTAAAGGATACCATCGGTGAATGGGAAATGCTAAGGTCGTTATCTCCGGAGGAAAGACAACGTCTTGAGCCATGGGAAAGTTGTCTTTGGGATTCATTTGAGGTCAAATATGGTCTGTGAAAATAACCATCCATGGAAAATAGTCAAGCCAGGCAGCTACTAGTTCCAAAACACAAGCTTGACCGACTACTCCATCGATTCTACGGCCACGAGGATGCTTGTCAGCCTGGGGCACTGGAAACGTGCAAATCTGCAACTAGACTGTACTACTCGACAGGTCTAATGGACTTGATGAAACGCTTCGTACGCGCAACCAGCCGCATCCCAGATGCCGATTCTCCCTCAAGAACCTTTCCAGGTCATAAGTATCGACCCCATGTGGCCTTACCCAAAAACCCAGGCCGGAAATATGGTCCTGTTTGTGGGAACTTGCATCGCAAGTAAATGGGTAGAGGCCAAGCCCAGGCCGGATGCAGTGTCAAAAACAGCCACCAGTTTTCTGCATAGCATATGCACAAGGTGAGGATACTGAAAAGAGGTCATCAAATATGGTTCAAGCACTTTTCAGGATCCACCTCGAAAAAAACATCATTGAGCACCGGATCTCATCAGCACCAAAGAGCGAACCCGGTTGGGAAACGAAATGTAGAGCTGAAAAAGAGCAATACGTGCAAGAGTACTGGGAAAGACACCTGAGCAGTATACTCTTCGCACTTCGAAATAGGACGAATCTCACCACGGGAATTACCCCTACCGAGTACGTCACTAGATACACCCTATGTAGGCCTGGTGAATGGAAATATCCAAATGTTCAAGTCAAGCGTGCCCACAGGACGGCCAAAATTCGGCAAAAGCGCCGAAAACAAATAGTATATGCCAGAAATTTGTTCCCGCACTCCACTGACACCCCAGCTGTCTCATTTATACGTAAGCCTAGAGACCAGGTCATGAACGGCGAACAACGAAATGAACTATTTGCAAAAAACTGGATGAGTATTTATTTCAATGATTATTTTTATTTTCATTTTATTTCATGGTTTTGAGTGATACCATAATAATAATTTTAGTGGGGAGTTTTTGTTTTGAAAAAAACAGTTACCTTGAGACAGGAACACCAAAGACCAAAGTATTATTCGAAAACAACCCTACCTGCTTTAAGATAACCTAACTTTTCATCTTTCAAATATGGTCGATCATACAACATGAAAACTTCGTCTATCTTTGTCGGATACATGCAAATTAGCAATACAGTTTGTCTCTGTCTAACATATCTGAAATTTCTTTAAAAATATTCACAAATGTCTGTCGTTTGTCTTTTCTACAGACTAAAATGATGACGTAATCGTCATCTTTCGTGATTTCGACTTTACTATTGTAGTAACCGTTTATCTCCTAAGAGAAACCTTTTTGAAAATTCAACGAATTTAAGTCGCATAGAAACAGTATTTACACTTGTACCACTGGTGGTCAACTCCGGCTGTTGACAAAACATCACGTGGACCCCCGATGGTACAGGTCGTCGTCAATGGGTCAAAAAAACGGATTAACAAAATTTCTTCATAGCAGCCGCTGTGTTCTGGCATTTAGTCTTTTACAAAATGAATCCAGGTGTACAAAAAACGACAACAAAATACGGTTTTGATTGTCACCTGTCAATAGGGGGAATTTTGAAATGTTACTAAATAAGAAAAATTCTCTTATGTCTCTTAAACAAAATATAACGTCCTAAAGATTCAAATTTCATCACTATACGCCACTCGTAATCAACTGACAAAATTTTTAGGTAAAAATTTATTAATCTCCCATGCGTGTCCGGCCAATAAAACCACATGCACTGACATAATTTTCTTTAGTGTAAACGTTTCAATCACAAATGTGACCTTCAGTAGAATGGCAATAAGGTATATTTTATTACTGTCTTCATTATCCATTTGACGTCACGCGAAACCAGCAGAGTCCAAATGCGAATTAATTGGACAGACAAGCATGGGGGATTATCGACATTTAGACCACATGATAAGTGTCAGATGTTACACAATAATTTATCATTTTGCCTACTCTGTTTAGCTGGAAAATCACAATTGATAAAAAGTGCTATAATAAAACAAAAATGTTATAAAACCTCCCAATTACATTTATATTTTAATAAATAAAAGCTTACTTCTATGTTTGCAAGAAGGTGGTAACAAACCTATTTTAAGGTGTTCAAGCGGTGTCTGTTGAAAGAGATGCTGATATTATCCAGATCGAATTACTGTGCTTGTCTTTGATGCAACTTTTAGTATAAAACCTGAAAACGATAAAATACAGATTACCTAGTAATAATTGTTCACTTTATTGGGAAAACTCTACATAACACGGTTTCATAGGGAACGATGATGAAAGGGAATGATAAAACGATGCTTAATAGTAAATAGAGCTTTGAGAAACGTCCAAATTAAACGTTTGATTTTGTACGATTCAAATGTTGCTTCAAGTATGGGCTAAATTAATGGTCGGGAGTTCGTTAAAGAGTTGTGAGAAATTTGACAGAAATGTGCCCAGGTCTAAAGTTTGTACATGGAAAGCCGCGCCATAGCCAGTCACAAGGTAGCAAAGAACGTGCCAATCAAGATGACGAAAGAATTGCTCATGGTGTGGATGACCGATGAAAACTGTCAAAAAGATTCGTTCAACTAATGAAAAATGGAGCATGCCATCATGGAATTAAAATATCGCCGTACCAAGCAATGTTTGGTTGTGATGTTAAAATTGGCTTAAAGACATCAGTTCTGCCTCTCGAAGCGATCGAAACGATCGGGAATGAGGATGATCTGGAGAAAATTCTTGAGCAGTTGAAAAATAACAGGTTTTAGCTATAACGCATATAATATGTAGAATAAATTCAAACAATTTAAAAATATCCAACAATTTTAGATTCCCGAATCTTTCAAAAAGTGTCGCAGTTTTATTGCACTGTTCGGAAATTTACGATAAACAGAAAAGTCACCACTGGACACCTAAGCCAAACGCTTGTGATGACACCACAGCCAAGAAGTTGAATTTTCCAACACACGCAATGATGAAAGATCGCCTATTACTGAAAACTCATGACAAACAAATACAGAAAAGGCTGATTAGACAGTCAAATATGACACTGTCGTAAATTGTAGATCATTGCAAGTCTACAGAAATGTCCAAGCAGCATAAAAAAAGGAGAAACAGTAGAGCAAGTCAGCTTCGTAAAGCAATGCAGAAAATGTGGCAGAGAGCATGCACTTAAAAAAGTTCGGGGTTTAACAGAACTTGTCCAAATTTCAGAGGAAAAATCATTTCGCCAAGACGTGCCACTTCGAAGAAAGGAAGCAAGAATTGAGCATGAATGAATGGATGCATCTTGAAATTACAGGCATTCCGGCCACCATAAGGAGTACCTCTACAATCCTTAGATCACACGCCTCGCCCTTTTAGCGAAGTTGAGAATCGCCTTGAGTCCAAGCTCCTTGACGACCTGAGGGTCCAAAGTAATGGACCCCAGTATAGTCTGCCTATAGTAGCTCAGAGCTTCACAGCGACACAAAACGTGCGCCGAGGTCTCTTCCTCTACTCCGCAGCGTTCACACAAGGGATCCTCAGCCACCCCCATCACGTGCAGGTGACGCCTTAACGTGTTATGGCCAGACAACAGTCCCACCAGCAACCTTAGGTTGGCTCTACCCAGAGATAGGCAGAAGCGTCCATCCTTAGCACTGGGCCCTTCAATGAGTTCCCGTGCCTGGCGAAGATGTCTGGAGATACTTCTCCATTTCTGAGAGTGTTGTCTTGCAACCCACGACTCCATTTTCCTCCTAGCTTTAAGCGCGGTCACTCCTAGAGCTGGCTCAGGACCAACGATCTTGCTGGCTGATCCTGTTTTCGCCAGAGTGTCCGCCGTCTCATTGCCCCTTATCCCAGCGTGCCCCGGTACCCATATTAACGATACCGGATGCCTCGCTGCGAGGCAATCCAGTGCCTCCCTGCATTGCAATACAAGACTCGAAATAATCTTACAGGCACTTAGTGCTTTCATTGCAGCCTGGCTGTCAGATAAGATAGTTATTCTTCTCCTAGGCCCACCCTCCTCCAGAATGTGAGATACACAAGCCAGAATCGCAAAGATTTCCACCTGGAAAATAGTGGTGTATCCACCGAGAGGCAGAGATAGCCTAGTTCTAGGCCCAGAGACCCCAGCACCTGAGCCCTCTTCGGTGACCGAGCCGTCCGTGTACCAGACCTGCCCGCTGACTCCGGAGAGTCCCCGGCTACCGGCGTCCCACTCCTCCCTCGTTGGATACTCCACAATAAACTTGTGGTTGAAGCGATATTTAGGGGTGATACGATCACCCCTGCTTAGAAGGACGGGGTTCTCCATTTGTAATTCGACTAAGATGGCAGTATGCCCCTTGACAGGATTGAAGAAAGCCCAGCTGCCCTCACTCCACAGTCGATGAGCGACTACTCTCGCTTCACCGCGGATCACCAGATCCAACAGTGGGAGATCCAACATAGCTTCCATTGCACTCAATGGCGTTGTTCGCACTACGCTTGTAATACTAATACAGGCCAAACGCTGAATTTTATTGAGTTTGGCCTTTGTTGTCTCAGTTCTAATGCAAGGCCACCAGACCAGGGGGCCGTACAAGAGAGATGGACGTACTATCGTCGTGTAGAGCCAGTATACCATTTTGGGTTTAAGCCCCCACCTTACCCCGACAGCACGTCTACAAGCCCACATCGAATTGCGAGCCTTGCTAACCTTGTATTTCACATGCTCTCTCCAGTTCAGTTTGCAGTCCAGGATAATTCCCAGATATTTCACTGTCTGGGACAAAACTAGTCTAGTCCCAAAGAAGGTCGGCATGACCAGCCCGTCAAGCCTTCTTCTCCTAGTGAATAGGAGCAGCTCGGTCTTTTCAGCATTAACAGAAAGATCGACTTCCCTACACCACGATTGCACGGAGCGCAGAGCGCCCAGCATAATTTCCGAGACTGTTCTACAAAAACGCCCCCTACCTACTATGCTTACGTCATCAGCATAGGCTTGCACGTAGACACCCATAGGATTGAGCAAGTATCAAGCAAGAAGGGCCCATGCCATAGAAGAAGAAATTAAGGAGGGAAATGTTGAAGTTAAATGTTTACAAGAAACACCAACGTATTTGATCATTGATGAAAGAGTGATTAATGGTTCTTCAAGTTCTTGGCACGCTAATATCCAAGTATTCAAGACCTTTATCAGATTTATTTTAGATACTGGAGTAGAATCCAAAAAACAATAAAACCTACAAATGTCTTTATAATTTCGTATGAAAATTTTAAATCAAAAGCTCATTGAAATTTAGCTTCAAAGGTATAAATAGAAGTGTAAGCTTTTTAATATCAGATGTTGTGTCAGAGCCAATTAGGGGGTTAGGAGAGTGTTTAGAAAGTTATATAGATATAATGGATATTCTAAATGTGGCACAAAATGTATTGGCTTTAATTTTAACGAGCACAAAATAATATCAAACGAAAGTTCGTTTACTTCACACTGTCAGTTGACATTTATTTGTTTTAAAGTTTTTGCTTTAAGATCTATAAATTAGAAATGAGAAAAATATCTACAAGTTGGTTGGGCGGGTATCCAAACCTGAAATCTGTCGAATACTCCAGAATGAAAACATTTCACGCAAAACCATTTATCGAACAATAGATAATACTATGTCTGAATCTCCCAAAAAGTGGAAGACCACGTGATTTACTGCACAGAGATCAGAGAGATTGGCGAGAAGTACAAAAAATCAGGTTGGAACGTCAACAAGGAGACTGGCTCGTGAATACAGATCTTCTAAGAGGACGACATCGTTGGAATTGAGAAGTAATGGTCTTAAATATCGAAAGAGACTAAAGTGCCTCAAATACTCTCAAGCGCAACTCCTTCGTGTACCGAGATGCTGTCGTCAACTGCGACGGGTACTCTTTGCCAATGGAAAAAACATTATTTTAGATGACGGAATATATTTCACTTTAAGGAATTCTGAAAAGAAGGGAAACGACGGATTTTATACCGACAACGCCCTGACAATGTTACATACAAACATAAAGCGAAATGTGCAGATAAAATCCTTGTCTGGTGCGAAATTTCTAGCAGGGGTGTATCCCAACCTTTTCTGGGAAGAATGAGGGGTGAAGCATTGAATAGTCAGAGGAGTATTGATAACTGCCTTTCCGAATTGCTTCAGTTTGTCCACGAACATCATGCTAATGACCATATGAAGTTTTGGCCAGTCCTACTCAAGAGATACCCAAAGCTGGCTTTGACAATACCAAAAACGATAATCCTCCAACCTTCGCAAAATAGAGGATTTTTGGACTTTACTATCTAAGAAGCTCAAGATGAAGAACGACGAATTAACAAAAAACCGAGATAAATTGATCTGAATTCCGTCCAGGACCTCATGAGAGACATTCTACGAAAGTTGCGACTGGTTGAGCTGAACGGGCCACTCCACATAATTCGATAGTATAGTTTAGTTAAGTATCGCGTTGTAATTTATGATAACTAGTTAGTGTTTAAATATATTTCTGCATTAAAAAAAATTTCGATAAATTAATATGTTGTGCCAAAACTGTTAGGACATACGTTATTAGAAGGCTTAGGTTGTTTGCCAGATACTGTTGATATTAAGCTAGGGTCAAAGCCATTCCACTAATACAGGCAGAAAGAAATGTACCATTAGCCCTGCACAATAAACTAGAAGAAATTTTGAATTACAGGTGGGTTGATTTATGAATGCTAATTGAAAAGTCTGGTGGTTCACTTCGCATGTGCCTTCATTCAAAGTATATTTGCAGAGAATATTATTTAATACCAAATCTGATGATATTTTAAGTAGATTAAAGAATAAAACTGCATTCTCAGTAATGAGATGAAAAATGGGTTTTGGTAACTGAAATTGCCGGAAAAAAGTGCCAACTTGAGAACATTTAATACACCCTTTGGAATATTTAGGTTCAACACGAGGCTTGATCAGTTGAAACCCATCTTTGGCCAGGCTAGCCTTGGAAACAATTCTAATCACCTAACTGACGTTTAGTTGTATTTAACTGCGATTTTAAGTATTGTGGCCTAAAAATGGCGGTTGTTGTTAACAATCCGTCCAAATGTCGTCAGCGTAGGGTCATTCATTTTTTTGTGAGCTGAAGGTTTGCAACCATTGCAAATTCATACGCGAATGCAAGCAGTGCATGAAAACGCATGTCTTGCGAATCCTGCTATCAAGGAATGGTGTC